AAGTTTGAATAAGAAAATGGAGACTGAGGATAATCATCAATGTGACTTTGGTCTAGAGCAAAAGGAAAAGTTGAAAGCTCATAGAAAACAACATTTCCAGACACAAGAATAGAATGAGAGTGAAGATTGAAAAGCAAGAAACCTTTGGTTCCAGCTTTGTATCCAAGAAAAATACATTTGGAAGCTCTTTTATCAAACTTAGTTCTGCCAGCATTTAGAGTATTAGCAAATGCCAAACAACCAAAGGTTCTCAGATTAAAAAAAATCTGGTAAATTCCCAAACACCATTTCATATGGAGATTTATCATGTAAGAAGGGTGTTGGTAATATATTAATGATGTAAACAGAGTGTCTTATGGCATGAGACTAGAAATGTAAGGGAAGTTTGGATTGGAAAAGAAGACATCTGGCAATGTTTAAGATGTTTTGGTGTTTTCTTTCAACAATGCCATTTTGCTGAGGAGTTTCCAGACAAGAAGTTTCATGAAAAATTCCATGTTGCTGAAAGAAATCTTTGAGAAGGAATTCTTTACCATTGTGAGATCTTATCTTCTTAAGTTTTGTTGAGAATTGATTTTGGATAAGAAGTATGAAACTGGGAAGAACTGTTTGAATTTCATATTTAGTTTTGAGTAAATAAACCCAAGTAAATCTGCTAAAATCATCCACAACGGTTAAAAAGAATCTATATCCTTCAAAAGAAGGATACTATATGGTCCCCAAATATCAACACGGATCATCTCAAAAAAAGAATTTGAAATGGTAGTACTGATCGAGAGGAAAATAAAGTTTCTTTTGCTTAGCATAATGACAAGCATCACAAGGTTGTGAGTAAGAAGAAGAAATGTCATTATACTTAGAACTCAGAATTTTCAACACTTTATTTGATGAATGACCAAGTCTGTTGTGCCATATCATTGAATTATTAACAGCATTTACAAGAGAACTTTCAGAAACGGTACTATCTAAAACAGTAGAAGTACTATCTAGAAGACTAAGTGAAAGAGAATGTGAAGAGCAAATGATCTTTCCCAAGGCACTGAATTCCTTCAAGTGAAAAAGTCCATTGTACATTTCAGCTACTCCAATCCTCTTGAAATTGGAGCTCTGCACAATGAAACACATGTTAGAAGAAAAGAGAAGAAAACAAGGAATGGTTTTGAGCAACTTGGAGATACAAATGAGATTTACTAGGTTTCCTAATTGAATATTGCCATAATAGGAAGCCACAATGGAACTATTGTTAGGCAATCTGACATGAATATGCTTGATTTCCTTAAGAGATAGAAAGGATGATTTACTAGGACAAATGTGGTCTGTAGCACAACTATCTAGAATCCAGGTAGAAGGAATGAAATTACCTGAACTCTCATTTCTGAATTGTTCAATGTGATTGACAGAAGATGAAGAAGAGTTGACTTTGGTTTGCTGGAGCAAAGCTATGATAGCATTATATTGATCCTTTGAAAGAGTGAACTGATCATTATTAACACCATTGACCAAGGAAGAATGTTGTGAGGCAGTGTTTGTGTCTACTTCATCCAAACTTGCAGATGGTTGAAAAACTGAAGAATTGTTTCTCCCACGAGTCTTATACCCACCTGGAAAACCATGCTTATGATAACATGTCTCGATTGTGTGATTTGTCTTTCCACGGCGAGTACACAGCTTATTTCATTTCCCGGTGAATCTGTCATTGACATTGTTGCTCTTATAATTGTTTTGTGTGGCTTTTGGAATGAAAACTTGATTGGCATTTTCTTTTGAGTTGATAAAAGCAACAGTTTCAGCAGGTGAAGTCAAGATAGGATCACCAACAAATTCTCTCTCATGTTGAAGAACAAGATTGAAAATCTTAATAATTGAAGGCATAGGATTAATTACCATGAGCTGAGATCGAATTTGAGCATATATGTCATTCAAACCACGCAAAAACCTAATTATACAAGAACAAGGTGTAGCACAAGTACAGAGAAGATTACAGCGATACAGTTCCAATTCCTTCCACATAATATTTAACCGAGTATAGTATTCAGACATTGTTGATGTACCTTGTTTGCAGGTTTGAATTTGATCTTGAAGATTTGCAATACGAAATTTGTAAGAATGTGAGAATCGTTCCTGAATATCTTTCCATATCTCTGAAGCTGTATCCATCCACATTACAGACTGTTTGATGGAAGGATTCATAGAACGAATCAGCCATGACATCACCATGCGATTGCATCGCTTCCAAGCTTCTGACAATGGATCTGAACTTGGTGGACAAGGAAGAGTTCCGAAAATGAATTTTTCTTTGTTTTTGGATTCCAACGCTACAACCATATCTCGTTTCCATTGATGATAGTTATTCTCACTCAAAGGTAGAGTAACAAGAATAATAGCTGAATTCTCTCCAGGATGGAGAAAGTAGGGATTCGAAGGGTTCACAACGTGATCAGACTGAGACATAGTTGCTGATGATTATGAAAAGATGATGATGATTATGCGGAAGAAAGAGATGAGCAGTCGCTCTGATACCATGAAAGATTTCTTGGAAATGAAAAGCAGAAGAAATCATCTATCATTCATTAAAGAAGAAGATGAGAAGAGATCATCTATCATTCATTAAAGAAGAAGATACAGTACATCGTTCCTTTTATACAAAGACTAAAGTAGTAACTAAGTAACAAACTCTAACTAACTGATTAAAACGAAATGAAAATACATTTTTACTAATTTGACTGTACTATCCTAATATATACTATTGTAAAACTTAATAATTATGATAATGATAACAACAATGATTCGTATATCCTTGTGTATGAAAAGTACTTCGTAACGTTTTGAGATAATTCTCAATATATGAGTAAAACATTATAAAAAGGAAAGAAAAGGAGTAGCTGTTTTAAATTCTCAATATAGGGATTTTTTATAAATGGATAAAAATACCCCTGTCACTGTTACTGCCACACTCTCGCTGCAACTGCCCTTGCTACAGCGCAGCGTCGCGCTGCCTGCTGGTATCTTTCTAAATTTTATGTCTTAGATCCAATAATCCATCAAAAACATTAAAGTATGAAGTGTTTCTATTGAGCTGAAAGATAACAATATATGGATTCCTAAGGGATCCTTCCACATCGTTTCCAACCTTTGTGCATATGTGCATATTTTCCTCTCTTAACCGATTGATCACATTCTTGCTCACATCTCACAAACTCCCATTACATCTTCATCTAGAATATTCCATAATTCATCACACATTATAGGCTTTTTTGCTATGAGGATGAATTTAATTATGAAGCGGAGAAAATATTCACATCTCACATTCTTGATCATGTCAAAAGCATGAGGTGGGGGTGTTTGGTTAAAAGCCTATCATCAACTTTGAGACTAATTTGATGATATTTGGTCTTTTGATCAGATCAATCAGTTAATAAGAGTGTTTGGTTGAGTAGCTTTTTCAAATTGATTTGTGTCATGTAAGGAATAATTTGTTTTTATATTTTTGTTATGTGACGAGCACTTTGTCACGGTGCGTCAAAATAATTTCAATACTAAACACTTATACGTAGTATAGCGTAGTAGAGTTCGTATCCACAGGGAAAGGAATGATTCTCCTTTTATGAAACTAGTAATTAAAAAGGGGGGTTTTGGTTTTGAGTGATTTAATTCAATTAAGAAACTAAGATGAACAACCTATATGTGTTTAATTCAAGAATAAAAGGGACTTGGCTTTGCTACTTTTCACTTGTTGATATATTTTAGTCAATCTTTGTTATATCTATAACTTATCCCCTCTCGAATACTCAATCGAGGAGTATCTTCAATTCATCGAGGGTAGTTATTAACAACGATCGTTCATTAATAACCCTTACTATTAATCAAATATAGAACAACGTCGTATACCGATATAATAGTAGCATTCAATCTTTTTAATTCCTTGACGAAATCAATTGAGATTGATAACCTTAACACAACGGTTTCGGTTTAACCAACAAAATTGATCTCTCTTAAGTTTATTAACCACGACCGTGCATTAATAAACCGAAGTTACTTACTTATGAAACCACCAACGATTAACCATCGGTTCGTTGATCGTTTCTAGTAGTAATTAATGTCGGAACGTTAACTAATCGTCACTTAGCAACCCTCCAACATTAATATAGAATGAGATTAAGGGAAGAATTAATAATCAAGAGAAGAAGTTAAGAAAATAACTCACAACTTTAATAATCAACAAGCTTCAAGAGCAAAACCAAGAAATGGAAGTTTAGCTCCTCATTTGGAGACTAAACATAGCTAGAAAAATATAAGAAATGCTATTCTAATCTGAGCTTAAGAGTATGGAAGAAGGGATTCTTTTTTAGAGAAGAAAAAGTGTGTTATTTATAGGTGTTTTTCAACACCTTTGGTCGGGTACCCGACCGGGTATAGTACTTACCCGACCGGGTCCGGTCAAAATCAGATAATCCGCCACGTTCTGGTGATCTTCGCACGTCGTTTTGTCCCGGGTCACATCTGACCCGACCGGGTCCAGTGACTTTCTTGGCAATTTCGTCAGTTAAATCCTACCCGACCGGGTGGGGGTTTCTACCCGGTCGGGTTTCACTCCTGGACAGTCAAATTTCTTGTTTTCTTCTCTTCAAAGTCTTCCTTTCCAACACCACTAATCCTAACTATACTTTACAACTTATAAATAAAGAATAAAATACAATTACAAGTGAAATTACATAAATGTTTACAAACTAAATAAAATGTCAAACAATCAACATAAATCAAACATAAAAACGTGCAATTATGCACTACTAATTAGTGTGCATCATTATGGTGTGTAAATAGGATTTTAGAATACTCCTAATAGATAAAATGTACTTAAACATTTTTTGTTGTAAAGTACTAGAGTTAGTCTACAGTTAGATTTGCGTGTAAGTCTTGACCACAGACAAAAACGCCAAGTCAAATCTGTAGGGAACAGATTTCGCCTCCGGCATAAACGAGACGGCTAAGAAATCACAATTTAGAGAGGCACAACACTGTAATTTTCTTTTTCAAACATAAAAAGCTAGAACCATGCTTCAATTTCAATAATTGAAATTCAATAAAAGTAGAACCAAAAAGGATAAGGATGGATTATTATTTTCATTTTCTATTTCTAAAAATAAAATGTTTATAGATAAATATAAAAGTTAATAAACACCCTCAACTGCACTAGCTATTGAAAATAAATGATGAAAATGTTTATTCCGGCATATGATCCTTAGCTCTCTGCCTCTCAAGTCTTGAGCATCTCTAGAATTCGTCTCTAAACGCACACGCTTGGGATTTTGCATGCACCATGACCTGTTCAGTTATATAACCAATTTCACCATCATCAGTTTCTATATAAATAAATGTATGCATATGTATATATGTGTATTCAATCAATTAGTGACACTGCTTATAATCCCCACCTTAATATATTAAATTTATACAAAATTAAAGCTATTTTTCAATTGTTCTAAAAGTATGATATAAAAATGTCTATTTTATACTAGCATTAACCAATTATTAGAAGTATAAAAGGTGGAGATTGAAAATCTCAATTTACAAAGAACATTTTCATGCTAATTAAGATAAGCTCTCATAAAAAGCCTTACACACACATGGGGTTACGTTTTTCAAAAAACTACGAGTGCTTTTAAACCAATGTGTGGAATGTTTTAAAACAATTATTCAAAATAGGAGTAAAATAATTAAGTACACTATTTGAAAATAAGACTAATATTTTTTGGAAAAATTAATATAATAGGGGTAAATGGGTAAATGCATATCCTATTAAAAGAACTAAATAATAATGCCTCCCAAGCAAGCTAAGGGAAGCATAAGTCATACGGAGTATTATAGGGGGGAAGCAGTGATCGATATTGCTATATGAAAATTTGTGTTATGTTTTCCTTTTATTTGAGAAATCTAATCACATATATATTTATTTTTCAAATGTTTATAAAAAAGTATAGTGGATTATAAGATGCACTTCATAATGTAATATTCTTGGATCAATTGCTGGTGATAAATTACTAATTTTAAACCGGGTGAGGTCAAATTATGAAATTAATTTATATGATGGATGGAATATTGAGTTTTGCATCACAACCATGACGTTTTATTTATGGCGTTTTTAATTAAATATATTCATATCCATAAATTTTACTTAAGTATCTCTCCTTCCCATTTTAGTTAGCTAAATTTGAATTTTTAAGTCATCAGTGTCTAACTTTAACCAATTATATATTTATATATAGAAGTATTGATAATATAAATATAATATGACAATGTACTTTATTAAAAATATTATCATAAAAGTTTAAAATTATTAAATTTTGCATAAATATACTTGCTATATATTAATTAAAATAATTGGTTAAAATTTGTCTATCTTTAACTGAAAATGTGAAAGATAGCTAACTAAAACTAAAAGGATATTTTAGGAAAGCATGTTGATATTATTACACTACCAATAGGATTAGAAAAATATTTCTAGAAAAATTGAAACAAGAAAAATGATGACTTACTAGGATTCACTGGGGTCATGGCCGCAAGGCCATCGAAATGGCAATTAGCTCCTCGGCTCCTAAATTTGGCCCAAAAAGAACTAAACGCATAGTTTGCATGAGACACGGCGGAAACCGGCTCATAGCAGTTACCGCCCGGAGCCAACTCATCGCACGTTCCATTCCCGGCGGCACAAGCGAAATCTATAGCCGGTCCCAACTCAATCACCCGGACACCGCTCGCCACCACGCACCACAAGTTCCCTTCATACGGCTCGTTATTAGCCGGCAGCGGCAGCGGCGGGTACTCGGTTTCCGGCAAAGCTCCGGTCAAGTTCAGTTCATAAACCGGGTTCCCGTTCGGCCGAAGTATTCCCCAGTGCCGCTCGGTTGCCGGCCCAGACTTCCGGTCCTCGTCGTATAGCGAGAAGACAAAAGTCGGGATGGCCTGACCGGGCCGGGCCGGGGTCCCGAGAGGCGGGTTGCTCGTGATTTTACGGACTAGATTCCTGTTATAAGCAGCCGCATTGTGGATGTTTGCGCCGGGCTGATCAAGATCGCCGGCGTTAGGCCAGCCGGTTTCGGAGATCGCAATCTTGACGCCGTTAAAGCCTAAATCTTGCATGGCAAACGCAACCGAATCCAGCATTTGGTCAAGAAGATTCGTATAAGCCAGACCGGTGACCGGGTCAACGACGGCGGTCTGGTTTCCTTCCCGCAACAGCGCGGCGTCGAGGCTGACGTTGTGTGGACTCGCCGACCAAGAGAAGTAAGGGTAAACATCAAGAAAGAAATATGAACTCGTCCGGTTCAAGAAATTCAACAGAGGGAGTAGGATTTCCTCCCGGGGGATATCACTCCTGAACCGGCCGCTAGATGGCGGGAACGTCGTCTCGACGACGTCCATCGCCACCGGAGTCCCGACTTTGATGTTGTGGATGTTGTGATAATTCAATGTTTTCTTGATGTTCCGCATGGCGGGGACGACGTGGAACGACAAGCTCTGGGCACGGCTGTCGCTGAGGATCTCGTTTCCGACTAGCACGCCGCGTATCATTGTCTCCGGCAGGAAGGCGAGGATGTTGTCGTGCACCCAAAGGTTCGCTGCCGACTGATTGGCTGCAATGTCCGGGATGCTATCATCCGGGACCATGATGGTGACCCGGATGGACGTCCCGGACAAGAGCTTGAGAATCTCGTGATCTGAGTCGTAGATCTTCACGCGGTTGACTTGCATGGCTTTCAGCCTTTCGATGGTCTCGTATGCGGAGGGTAAGTTGGTTCCTTGCAGGCCGTAGTTTATCCCGATCAGCTTGTTCGATGACAATTGAGCATCTGCACACAAGCATTTACTGTTTTTAGTGCGGCTACATTGACCAATTGACTTTGTACTATTTTGAGCTTAGCACTTGTTTGACTTGTTAATATGTGAGACATCCCATCTTTTCTTTTTTACTGCAATTCGTTGATCTGATCTAGTTTGATTTGGTATTAATTGGTCTGGTCTGATCTGGTTTGATTTGGTATGAATTGGTCTGATCTAGTTTGATTTGGTATGAATTGGTCTGGTCTGGTCTAGTAAATGTCTCCTTTCTATGTATTTATAACTATGAAAATCTTGTCTGATTTGGTCTGGGACGGAAAACAGACCAAAAGAAAACATGATTAATTTTGTTAACTTTAGTTTTTATTTGTTTAAAAGAATTGGTCTACATACTTCTATTATGAGTTGTTGATGTAACTATATAAGTACATATTTTTAAACATTAATGGTCAAATGTCCACTTTATTGGAAGACCGTGGAAGACAAGGGTGGACTTTGTTAGATTTATTAAACATATGGCTAAACATTCTTTTAGGATTGGTGAATAAAAGTCATATATTAAGTGTACACATAAATAATTTGACAATTAACACTCATATTACTAATTAAACATACGGGTATTTTGAATAAAAATGAAGGCCAGAGCTAGATGACGTATACAACTTACTTGAAAATGAAACGAGAAGCGTGACAAAAAAGAGGGTCAAAATTGATTTCTCCATTGCTCCAATGACTGGGAACATTTTCGGCAGTTTTGCCGGTAATTTCTCAGCTTGAAGACACTGAGCTATAAGAGATTTTCTGTACGTGCTTGGGTAAAATGTGGGAGGTGATGATGGGATTATATAATAATGAGTGGTATATGCATGGATGGGGAGTTTACGAAGGAGTTCAACTACCAAGCTTTTATGAGTGCATAATAATATACTTTTCTTCTTAAGGAAATCAAGATTGTGATATTAGAGGTTAACATGGTAAGTGAGACTTCGATAATACATTTTCTTTACTTCGATAATATACAATTGTTTCCGCAGAAACAATTGCCTTTTCTAAAGCATGAGCAGTACGATTCGCTGATCGCTTACAAAATGAAATCTTAAAATTAAAATGATTTTCAAGAATAAAATGAATGTCATCTAAGACCAGCTCAAAATAAAAAGAGATGCATTCACGATGAATACTATGAACAACCACCAAAGCATATGTCTCAACCTTAACTTGATGTCATTCTGCTTGCATGGCATCAAGTAGTGGTGCTCTCACTATCAGGGTCGGCCCTGACATTTTATGGGCTCTGAGTAACGTGCATTTTGTCGTAGTGCGTCAAAATAAATTCAATACTAACACTTATATGTAGTATAGCGTAGTAGAGTTCGTATCCACAGGGAAAGGAATGCTTTTCTTTTTATGAACTAGTAATTAAAGGGAGGTTTTGGGGTTGAATGATTTAATTTAATTAAAAACTAAGATTAACAACTTATATGAGATTTAATTCAAGAATAAAAGGGACTTGGCCTTGCTACTTTCCACTTGTTGATATATTTATCCGATCCTTGTTATATCTATAACTTATCCCCTCTCGAATACTCAATCGAGGAGTATATCCAATTCATCGAGGGTAGTTATTAATAACGACCGTTCATTAATAACTCTTACTATTAATCAAATATAGAACAACGCCTTATATCGATTTAATAGTAGCATTTAATCTTTCTAACTCCTTGATGAAATCAATTGAGATTGATAACCTAAACACAACGGTTTCGGTTTAACCAACAAAATTAATCTCTCTTAAGTTTATTAACCACGACCGTGCATTAATAAATCGAAGTTACTTACTTGTGAAACCATCAACGATTAACCATCGATTCATTGATCGTTTCTAGTAATAATTAATATTGAGATGTTGATTAATTGTCATCTTAGCAACACTCCCCAACATTAATATAAAAATAGATTAAGGGAAGAATTAATATTCAAGGAGAGAAGTTAAGAAAATAACTCACAACTTTAATAATCAACAAGCTTCAAGAGCAAAACCAAGAAATGGAAGTTTAGCTCCTCATTTGGAGACTAAACATGCTAGAAAAATATAAAGAAAATACTATTCTAAGTTGAGCTTAAGTATATGGAATAAGGGATGATGAAAAGTGAAGGAAAATGGGGTTATTTATAGGTGTTTTCAACACCTATGGCCGGATACCTGGCCGGGTATTTGAAATACCCGAACAGGTATTTGTCAAATCAAATCTTTTTCCTACGTTTTTGTGTTCTTCTGCACGTCTTTCTGTCTGAAATCACTTCATACCTGACCGGGTATATGGAATATCCGGTCGGGTATTTGATATAATTTCCCAGAAGCTTCTTCTTTCACTTCATACCCGGCCGGGTAAAGGCCATACCCGACCGGGTTTTGAACAAAACTCAGGTTTCTTCATTTTTTTGCTTCCAAACCTATCCTAAACATATATACAGGGAGCGGTTCCGGTAAGAACAGACTCCCAGGAGAGAAATGAGAATGAATCTGGACCGTTGGATTGTATTATGTGAAACTGAATTGTGCATTTGGTGAAACTGAAATATGCATTTGATGACATTGAAATGTGCAGAATAATAATTTAAATTCAAGTGTGCATGAGATGAAACAGAAATGTGTTGAAAAATAGGTACAAAAATAACATCACATCGTACCTTTTATTCTGCACATTTCAGTTTCACATAGTGCACATTTCAATTTCATTTAATGCACAATTCAGCTTCACATAATGCCAGTGTATCGTACCATTTGTGCTGCACATTTCAATTTCACCTAATGCACATTACAGTTTCATCTCATGCACATTGAATTTCACTTCAAGTAAATCTAACGGTCCAGATTCATTCTCATTTTTCTCCTAAGATTGTGTTCTTATTTGAACCAAAACCTATACATACATACATACATACATACATACATACATACATACATACATACATACATACATACACACACACACACACATATATATATATATATATATATATATATATATATATATATATATATATATATGTGTGTGTGTGTGTGTGTGTGTGTGTGTAAAATTATGGGGCCTTATAAATGTTGGGCCCGGGGCATAAGCTCAGCCTACCCTTGCCTGGGGCCGGGCCTGCTCACTATCAAGCATATATGCCATGTATTATTCTTTATTTTATATTTTTTTTTGTTAAGTACTTATATGGCATGTACGTAGGCATATTTCCCTAGATGGTAGAATACCATTAGGATTTGTTTTCCTCTCTTAGGCATAGCACATAGCACAATTTTTAGCCTCTTTATATGGTTGTACTTGGATGATCGAAGGATACCCGATCAATAATTTTAGAATTATTATTTTCATACACTTTGCAAATCTGTCATGGTATCAGAGCCTTAAAACTGAAGCATGGCAATAGGCGACGAAGAAGACGCCGGCGGACATAATCAGGGCCGCCAGGACCTTACTTCGTCGTTCTTTCTTGGACAGCAAGATTGTCCGGCTACTGAAACAGGACGTGTACAATCAGTTGCTAAAGCCCATGCCACAGTTACCGACACAACTGGAAAGAAGGTTGCGGCTACTGGTGAATTATCCGGAAGTGCCGACACCACACCTTTCCCCGGCTTTTGTCCAGAACAGTGGCGAGCTTTAGTCTCTACATTCGGTAATATACACACTAACACACCTCTAGTAACCAAATGACTGCTGGTAAGTCTGGTACCGCTTCTTGGATAATCGACATTGGTGTTACAAATCATATTTGTAGTAACCAATCACATTTATTAAATATCAACCCCATCAGCCCATGTTTGGTAGGCTTACCCGATAATGGCAAAAAGTATTAGCGACTCACGAAGGATGTGCTATTTTTTCGGATGGTTTATGCTTAAAACATGTGCTCTATGTGCCAAAAATGAATTGCAATCTTATCTCTGTGACTCAATTAAGTGATGAGCTGAACTGTTTTATCCAATTCACTTCTAACTTGTGTGTTATACAGACCGAGTCTCGAGGAAGCTGATTGGAGTGAGTGAGAGGAGGAATGGGCTAAACTATCTCCGTGAGTCAACAGATGCACAAACCTTATCCATAGATGGAAGTAAGCAACCAATTTTTGATATATGGCACAGATGCATGGGACATCCGATTGGAAAGGTTCTGCATTGGCTAGCTCGTGTGAGTGGTTTAAAAGGATTATCCTCTTCACCTTGTGATGTTTGCTTTCAGGAAAAACATGTTAGGGACTCCTTTTCTGATATTATTAATAAATCATGTGATAGTTTTGAGGTGGTACACTGTGATTTGTGGGGACCGTATCAAACAACCTCTTCGTGTGGTGCTAACTTATTTTTAACTATTGTGGATGACTATTCTCGTGCAGTGTGGATTTACTTGTTGATTGATAAGAAGGAATTTTTTAAAATGTTTATGTCTTTTATTGTCATGGTTGAAAGATAATTTTTCGAAAAGGTGTATGTGGTTCAGAGTAATAATGGAACTGAATTTAATGATTTTTATAAATCTTGTTATAAATCTTTAAGGATTTTTGGTTGTTTATGCTATGCCTATAACCTTAAATATAGAGGTGATAAATTTTCCAGTTGAAGTCAAAAATGTGTTTTTGGCAAAAAGGGGTGGAACGTGTACGATCTGGAAACTTGTGAGTATTTTGTGGCTCGAGATGTGAAATTTTTTGAAGACCATTTTCCCTTGGCGGATCACCAAGCTACCGAGACGTCTGTTTCCATACAGACAGATATGAATTTTGATTGTATTTTGGGCTACAAAGACACACTTGCTATAATTTCTAATCCCACTCAACATACCTCCCTGGACAGAAACGCACTTGCAGATAACCAAGCCACCGAAGGGCCTTTCTCAATGGATCACCCCACTGCCAACAAGTCCCTTACTATTATGGATACTTCTATACTCAAATTGACGCTTTAGGTCGGGGGCAACACATGAAACAGCCGTCAGTACGATTGAAAGATTATGTCATCACACAATGATTAAACATAGTCCCATTTTCTCCTCGCCCACTCCTACAGCTTCCCCATGTACTCCTTTCCCTATTTCACACTATGTTAGTTGTGATAATTTTTCTGCACCACATCGTGTATTTCTTGCAGCAATTTCCTCAGACACCGAACCTCAGTCCTTTCGTGAGTCTGTCAAAGATTCTGGGTGGCAAATAATTTAAATAAAAAAATATTTGTAATACTCGTACTAAACTAGTGATTTAATGAGTATGTAATCGCTTGAATATATTATATTGGTGAAAGATAGAACAATTATAATACTAGACTATTTTTTATTGTAAATGACTTCTATTACAAATCAAGTAAAATACAACAAGACTTAAATCACTATGTGATCATAAACACCTCAATCGTATCGACTTTGAGCCAATCAATCACATAGTAGCAATATATCTTGCTAATTCCCATACAAATGCTTGTAAGTCAACCATGACCGCTCTAGAATTGTCGCCACCAATTATGTTCTTAGAATAACTCTCAGCTCAATACCCAGTGGAAAAACATCAAAATAACATCTCACTCCAAAAACATAGCAAAATGAAAATAAAGCCCAAAGGTGTACCTTAAACCAAACAAAAAGACATAAGAGACTTAAAACGAGGAAATTTGACTAGGAGATTATGTGAGCCTAGAACCCTGGATCCGCCCATTATTTTTCACGTTTTATATATGGCTTGTCCAAATCCATATTCCCAGCAGCTTGAACTTCCTTTTCTTGATCCTCCTCTCATACTCGTT